AGAATTTATTTATTATTTAACGTAGCTAGTTAATAGATTATTATAATAATAATAGATTATTATTATAATAATAAGTAAATACATATACTAAAATACATTATTTATTCGAATTTATTTCAAATGTATCAGTGTTTAAAACAAATCCGAATAAAATAGCTTTTATTTGTACAGATTTGTCATTTAGTACATGTCATTTTACTTATATATTACAATAATAATTGTAATATTATTTCGTGTGCCTAGATTGATCTGAAAATTTTCCGATTAAGAAACGCAAATAAAAAATATATTCGGAACTTTTCGAATATGATACAACTAGGTGCGAAAAATTCTTTTTCCGGCGACAATAACGCCGTTATGTTGCGTGTGTTCTCGCGAATATCAATTATGCAAAAAAAAGAAGAATAGATCTTGCTATCTCAAGATGCCAATAATTTTTCAATGTAATAATAATTTGCAGAAATTCACGAATGATGTCTCGGCGATATCAATATCAACGGACCACTGACAAGGAGCAAATAATGGAAGATTTTTTTCTTTTAATATAATTAACAAAGTTGATAAGAGAAATAGTTTTTCAGACTTGAAGACAAAAACATGATACGTAAATAACATTTTTATAATAATTTCCAAATACACACACAGAACCGTAACTTTTAATTAAAACTGCTTTTTAAAACACATACTATAAAATTACGAAAGTTGATTTTTTACTGTAGAGCTACAATACATTACACAGAAATCGTACAGCTTAAGAAATTGCTTACAATTTGCGATTTCAATTTTGCTGTACAATATTAAAAGAACATTCTTTATTTAAATAACTTCGTTGATCTTTCACTCCTTTTACAGTTGTCTCCGCGATATATACAATTTTAATTTTATTGTATTTTTATATCATTTGTGTTTTGTATTTCTTTTCCTATATCATATCTTATGTTCTATTGTAAATTTTTGTATACTTGTTTTATGCACTTGTATATTTATACAATATCATATATCTTTATATATATATCCTCTGATAAATAAAATTTGAATTTACAATCTAATCATTTTTCTCCATTTCTCTAAACTGGAGTATTTTCCTAAATATATTCGAATATTTTTGTTATATTGATACGCCATTTATCACACCACATTTGAATGTGAAAACATTTTGCAATTTTTTTAAATTTAATATCGTTGATAAAATTTGCTTGAATATTTAAAAAATTTACTAACAATTGATATCAATTAATTAATATCGGTATCATTAATATATTAATGACATTTAAAAGTATTAATTAATATCAATTTAATAGCTAATAATTGATATTAACCGATCAAGGACATGAGAAATAAATAATTTTCATGATATATTGCCAGTCATTGTATTCCCGTTATTTCATCGATAACTGCATTTATTTCCTGGCAGTGTAAAAAAATCACGAAGTAAAGATCACTGATCCATATAAAAATATATATGCATATGATGTACATGTATAAATTTACATAAAAAAGGAATATTATGTTTAGTAATGAAGAGAGATAAGTCGACTTATGAAATAAATAAATAAGAGAAACTATGTTTTGTAATCTAGACGGAATCATAGTACTCGCTTTCTGAGTTTTGTGTCGAGCTTTTTAGTTTCATAAATACATTAAATGCTAAATTTAATTCAAATATAAATTTAGATTTAAATATTTATAACAAATATTTAATACTAAATTCAATTTAAATATAAATTTGTATTATACTCTTTCTTTCTATATAATAATCCAACTTCGATCATCGTATATATTAACTACGATAAATCATAATAAGAGAATATAATAATAATTATCAGTATTGTATATCTCACAATAAAGAGAAATGATAGAGATCATACAAGAAATGTACAAATGTGATCTATCGCAGGAAAAGGCGGTTAGCATTATCCTTCAATAGATCGAACTTTTCGATGTTTGATTATGAAAAAACTGTTATCGCTTCCTGTTACGATATTATACGATTGTCGATGAGCTTTCGCAAATCCGATGGGCAATTTAAACGAGCTTTTTTCTATTTTTATAATTTAAATCTCAATATATAATTTTATTTGATTTCTTTTAATATTCTGATCTTTACCTATTTATTCAATTCAAAATGAGATTATTCTTTTGAGTTCACCAATAGTAATTTCTAGTAGTAGTAATTTTGATTATCATACTCGAAATAAGTTTACAACTTTAGGTTTCGAGTCTTATTGAATAATATAATGACTCACTTAGCGCTGGACGGGTTCGACAATATCTATTGCACATCTCATACTTTTTAATTATGTCAAATCCAACTTTTAAGCCAAGTCATTACGTGCACCTTTCTTTTTCGAAATATAATGATTTATAAATCCGTGGTTCTTTACATAAAGATAACAAAAATATACTACATTCTTAAGTATTATTTTATAGCATCGAATATGCGTATCACATATTTTTAAAAGTGATTCTATAAGATAGAATCTTTGATATATATTTGAATTTATTCACGGTCGGTTTAATTGATCTTTAATATTGCAGATTCTCGGTACCACGAATACATAAATCCTGCTTTTAATAAATCTTAAGTCAATCATTTCTTTTTTTTCGAATTCTACACGAATTTCGTTAAATGGCCATTTTCTTCTCTCTTTTTTTGTGCATTAGTAAGAACGGAAAAAATCCTGAAAACAACCCTACCATGACAGGCGGCTTGTTCTCAGCAGGTACTCGGCTTGTACATCTTTTTAGCCCGTTTTTTCTTCGTGTACTTAGCGCTAAAGAGAATAGTCGAAGAAGATTAAACAATTTGTATCAAATAATCATTTCCGACTATCTTTAAAACTTATGTTCCTCGATTTTTATATGGGCACAAACACTAGCAGAATATTTTATTTTTTATAAATTTTACAATTGATTTGGAGTCGGTTTTTTACTTTCATTACAGAAAAATCCGATTCCAAATTGATAAAAGATCCATTAACATGAAAACAATCGCGATGATTAATCGTGAACGTCCCATATAAAAGAGAATTAAACAAACTTTACGCTAAACGTACAATCGAAGTATGCCCATCTCTTTGTTAACTAGGAACTAACAGTTTTTACTTATTTATTCTTCCCTCTCTTCCTTGTTCTCTCTATAGAAATATTTCTGTATATAAGTATCATATTCTCTAAAATTATCTGTAAACAAAGATTCGCTGGTCCAGTTTGCCAATCTGATTGCCACTTTCAATTCTTCTATCTAGATCTTTCATTTTTCTACTAATACTGTCTAAATACAAACTAAAAACAGACTTTATCAATAGTCCCGCTGTACAATTGTTTGCATTTCTTTATTGCTATCGTCTTGGGTCGGTGTGACTATTACTAATTAATTTACGTCATGGAGCATGATCAGGAAGAAAATGCAAGAAATTTCCGCTTTCATCTTTCTTGCTTTCTCTTTTTTCTTGGACCCAGACGAGAATCGATTGGCAGCTTGGAACTTATACAAGGTGTCTCACAACAACCATCAGATATCACTTCAAAAAAATCTTTTTTTTTTGTAAATTCACGGTTTTTTCTCTCGATAAAAGTGTTAAAATCTCAATTTTTTATTCAATGTACCTTCGTAATTGAATCAACTACTAAATCGTTACACATGAAATCTTGCTTTTTTGTCTAAGAATATTAAAACTTTAAAAATTTATAGAACGTCCCATAAAAAGTTTCAGATATTTAACATGTAACTATTTAATATATCTGATTTCAATTAGAAAATTTTATAAAAGTATTGATGTTTCATTAATTTATTATGACTTTTTTGACACTATCTTTGGTTGTTTCAGCACACCCTACATATATCTCCCCTTAAGCGGTGGCACTTGACGTGTTAGAAAAGCGAGTACGTAAACCGCCAGCTCGGACCACTGTTCGATATAAGAAATCTGAGCGTCTCTTACTTTACAATATCATCACAGAACTTTGATGTGTTTATATTGCTTAATATAAGACTTAAAAATTATCGGTTCGAGAAATGGCGGTTTACGTCAGTCCATCGCTATGATTAATTCTAATTATTCTTAGCATAATAAATTGCATCCAAATGGTTTAAACCTTCGAGGTAAAGGTTTGAAACCTTTCAGAGCCACTTTGCTGCCCGGGGATAGTGCACTTAATTAACTTCAGTTTATACCTATTCGTATATACAGGGTGACAGTGTTATACTGCAATAAATTACTGTATCTTGTGCGAGATGTACTAATTCCAGAAAAAATGTTTTCAATAAAAAGAAATTATATGGATTTTTAGGGACATGTTTTGAACATATTTTGATGAACGGGTCTCACTTCCAAGAGAAAAACTTTCATCATCATTAAGTATTTCTTTTATATTTTGACTATATAAAACATTTCCCGTAAAATTCCTAATAAAAATTCTTTTCTAAGGTAATAACGTTTTTGTATTATTTAATTATCCTCATGTATTAACAATTTGTAATATAATGAAAAATAATTTAAACAATAAATAAAGCAGAATTAACAATGTGTAGTAATATAATGAAAAAATAATTTAAACAATAAGTAAAGCAGGATTTTAAAAATTTTATTACAGAATTAAAATTCGAATATTCTCCACCAGGAAAAATCGTCTCTAAATTGAAACTCAAAAGATATTTTAAGATTTAAAAGAATTGAAGTAAATATTGCAAGAATCAAATGTCAAAAATTTGCTTTATGTATCGTAGAAATATAAAATTTGAAATTCTCGCCAAAGGAAAGTTCGCTATAATGAAAATTCTATAGAAAATTGCAATTAAAAAATTATCTAATAGACACCCTGTATACGTATGTACATATTTATGCGTGTGTGTCATAAGTAAAGGAATAAATTAACCCTCTATAAAGGGCCGACATTAATTGGAGACCGATTGAAGTGACTGATTAGTAACGGTGACAGATTGTAAGGTTTTGCAACTCGACAACTTATCGAGTTCTATAGGTCTCACAGCTTCCTCTATCATTTTCACATCTGCCTGAACTTGAACATTCTTCGCTATTTTACTCTCACCCTGATTGGAGGACTCATCGTAACCAGAATCGGATGAAGAGTCACTATCTGTCTTTGTTTGTTTCGAACTTGTTTCTGAACTTGATGGCGATTCAACGCTATGAATAGGACTGATAGATGCAGAACTGTGAGTGGGACTGGCGACTGTTAAAGAAGAAAGAAGTTGCCGCCTGGCAAGATTTACGCAAGGTTTCAGGCTAGACGGATACATTATAATCTCACCATTGGCGCCTCTGAAAATGCTGCCACAGCAAATAATTTCTCTGTGTAAAACAAAAGAAATATCATATATTAAATGTAAATTAAGATATGTACAATATGAAAAATATTTAATGAAGAATATTATCTTCAATGAAAGAAATATATATTCATAATAAACATATAAAAATTGAGAAATATAGAGATATGTAATAGAAGTAGCTATTGAGTCATCTCTAATTTTTAGATCTTATAAAATGTTTTCCTACAAAATTTTAATTTATTTAAAATACTTAATTTTTGTAAAGAATTCTTAGTTCTTAAAGTTAATTTTCAAAATTCTTAGGATTTATGAAATTTTTTTTTATAATATTACCTTTTGTAATAAGATAAATCTAAAAAATCATTATCTTCATTCATATCCTGATCTTGAACGAGATCTAATTGTTTGTCATTAGAGCCAATATCATCGTCATCATCCGAGATGCTTTCCGATCTGCTCGAAGCTTTACTATCTGCCAATGTATAATCTTCTACAATATAAAAAAAAACAAAGAGAATGTTTTAATACAATTATTAAATATTAATAACATATTATTAAGATATCCCAATTTCTATTTCTATCTTTTAACTTTTACAATGTTTTCTAAACGTTGAACCATATATATTAGATTAATAAAATTTTATATTCAGTTTAACCAACCGATTAAATCATCGCTCATTGATGGGCTTTGTTCTCGATCTGTTTCTGTTTTTACATAGACATGTTTCTTCTTAGCAAGTTTATCAGATGTATCTTTAACTTTTCTTTTATTTTTTGCTTTAAATTTTGTCAGTGATTTAATACCAGGACCAGCGCGTGCATCCACAACCTATAAAAAAAATTGATAATTTAAATTTAATGATAACATAGTATAATTAAAAATATGTTGGATATTTTAATGTTACAGCAGTCACCTGTCAAGCTAAACATATTTTGCAATTATCACAAAAAGAAGTCTATAACTCTTTCTTTCTCTCTCTCATAAAGTAGATAAATATTTGTTTCAATTGTAATTTTAAGACCAACAATCAAAATTCAATCAAAAGAATCGGAATGTAATAAATAGTGATATTTATATTATACTAGCAAGATTAAAATTCAAATAATAAAAATAACATTATCACTCAACAGATACTAACATGTCTCCAATTGCGATCATTTCCTGGAGGCAACTTCTTAAATCTCTTTACTAGAAGCACACATGCATTACATATCTCTCCGCTACGCCTCTCATCAAGTTGAAAACATAGCATAAAATCATCCTCGTACTTTTTACTATCTGTGAATCTCGAACTGTAAAAAGATTTATAAACATTTATTAAAACAATATAAAAAATATAATATAATTGTAGTATACGTCTATATAACAAAATATGTGTTATGTCATCAATATGTTATGAATTAATATCATGACATTAACTTTTACTAAATAACATTTATATCGTTAAAATTTTAATGTCAATATACATTGTAATATTAATTTAACTTAAAATAATATAATATTAATTTAAAATAAGAATTAAAAATTATACGATACATATATATATATATAAAATTAAAACTATTTTATTTTTATTGTATGAGATATATACACATATGTAAATATTTAGATATATTTTTACCTGCTAGATTTAGCTTTGCAAATGCAACAGCCTGTACTAGATCGATACACCTTTGGTTTGTGAAAACTGAACATCCTGCTCACTGTGTACGTCACTATCGTTTCTGTAATTTAATAGATAGGTTTATGTTATAACAAAATTTCTATTGATAGAAATTATGAAGTTTATATCTTTATAATTTTACGTTTTTTTATATTTCACATGCAAAAATAATTGCATTTGTCATTTTATAAATTTTTTTATCTTTCATAATTGCATAAAAATTGTATTTAAAAACTGTATAAATTGTATGAAAATTGTATTTTCGAGATTCAAAATATTTAATACTAAAAATTTTTAAACATATAGCATAAAATTAAGATATATGTGTAAAGTGTAAAATAATTCACAAAAATATATAATGTATATAAAATTTACAAATAGAATAAAAATATTTTAACAAATTAAAAATAATTTTAAAATACAGAAGTTGTACGAATCATGGAAATCGAGATTCAACGTAATTTTTAAACGTGAAATATCGCTATGGAAAAATATCACATGGTATAACATGGACGCCATGAAATTGCAGTAAATGTAAAGATGGACATGCTTGAAGTATGTGACAAATTACATAAAATTATAAAACGTATAAAGATAAAAGAATTTGAAGATAGAACATATTTTATATATGTGTCAGATGAATATCATGAAGTTGCGCGGTATACTAAATTAAAGGTCTGTTTTTCTGTGGCTGAACTAGTGTACACTTTTGGTACTTAAAGTGAAACATACGTTTGATACTTGTCGAAAGCGAAAGAATTCTAGAAGAGTCTAGTGCAGGAACAGAAAACAGACCATAAGATTGATACTTGGAAGTGGACATGCCTGAAGTTCACAAAGTAACACAGATGTAGATAAGGTGTTCAAAAAATACGGTTGTCGTGAAAGTAACATCAAATATATGTCACGATGATCGCTGATTTTATCGAGCACGTTCACTACCACCTTCATGTTTTGTCGAAGAATCACAAGAATCGAGATTCGAAGATCCCGAAATTAATGGAAGCTACGACGAAAAACACTGTTGCCAAATGTATTAAAAAGTAGTGACGGACTTTATTTATTTTTTTATTACGAAATTGAGACGTCTCTCTCTTTCTCTTTCAGCGACTCTTCTTCACTTTTCTAACGTCTCTTTTTCTCAATTGACACGACGAATGTCCGGAGTGAAAGGCACTGTCATCAAATGCGCCAAAAGTGACGCCGTTTCCAATTCGGCCGCTTGCCTCCTTCCCAAAATGGATCTCCGTCCCTGCACGGACACGACTTGATCCTCCGGTTTCTCGAAGCCGACACCGTGGGTGCCGAAACCGAAACAAAAGAAAAATGAACCACTATCGACAGAAGTAATGTCAAAACAACGCTGACAATCAGGTACAAGCCGCTTGTTCTTTCAAAATGGAAGAGAAAATCTGATCTCCCACTCTTTCTCCTTCGACAGAGAGCTCGCTCGAACTGACTTGAATGACCGTTTCCTTTCCCGATTATTCGCGATTTTGATCACGGTGATCTTCGCGCGCGCGCGCGTTCTTGAAAGGAATCGCAACGGCGGCGCTCGTTCGCGACAATGTTCAGATGGTTTGGACCAGACGTGACGCGCGTACGACGACGTGCAAGAAGCGTGGCTACGCTACTTTACGCTCTACGCGCGCGCCGGGAAGCGTCACTAAGCGGCGTGCGCATGCGCATACCTTCTCCCTCCTCCTCTCCCGATTTTCTGTCGCGTACTCAGTGTTTCGTCGTCAAACATCTTCTCATCCTTCCCCGTATGTAAAGTCCTCTTCGATGCCCATGCGCGAGTCGAACTTCGTTTAACTTTGCTCCGCGCACGAGCGCCGAATTCTCTCTTCTCTCCCTTTCCCCCTCCCTTCCATATCGCTTCCTCATTCTGAATGGTCTCGCTTGGTTTATCACGATAATCCCCTCGCATGAGACAAACTTTATTTCGTTCAAGCCACGCGATTGAAGTACGTTTTAATTTGATAAAGTGAAGTTATCTTTTCTAACCAACTTCACTTTATATGTTTTCATAGTGTTTAATTGAATGCAAATCTGGAAGGAATTTTTCTTGTTCATGTTTCAATGTAAATAAATTAATCGATTTATCTAATATCAGGCTTCTAGAATCTAACAAAGTATTATCATTAGACATGTAAATTTCATTCAAAATTCGTTGCTTTTATTTATCACAGTAATCCTCCTCGCATGAGACAAACTTTACTTCGTTCAAGCTGCGATTGAAGTAAACTTAATTAATTTAAGATGGTTCTTTAATAAAATATCAAAAATTTGGAATGCCTTACCAGGGCCCATAAATGTCTGCATAATTTGAATAAAATATTAAAACTACGTGTATATCTTAATAAAATAATATGGAACATAATAGTAAATCAAGAACTGAATCTTCATCGAACGAAAACAAGATAAGATTATGTTTACTTTTCGAGGTTAAATTTATATGCAAGTTTATGCACGTAAATATCTTTCCAGAACATTGACCTATTTTTTATGACCATTAAAATTGTAATTTTTATAATCTCGTTTTTGAAAAAAGACTATGGTAAGATTTGTGTGCAGGGTAATCAAAGAAGCATCTGCGAGCCTTATCTGTCACTAATAGCGAATTCGGTCACTTGCACTACACTAGACAATGCATACTAAAAGCTGTTTAACATGACATTAGCCAAGTTAAATGTAAAAGTATATAAATATTTTAAACAATTAACTATCTATTAATGATACTGTCACGTTATTTAACAAAATATATGTGTATTATTTTATTGTCAAAGTTGATTATATTGTATCATTGCATTGAGATATTTTATATAAAGCAGCTTTTAATATGCACTGATCCAGTGTAGTGCGAGTGTTCGAATTCACCATAAGTTATACGTGAAGGTTGCATTTTCAACATTTTTTTTCTCTTATTTCAACGTTATAATACCGTAGAATTTTGCACATGTAAATTTACTTCAACTTCATTATATAAAAAAATTAGACATTTTTATGGTAATTCGAATTAGTAAAGAACCATCTTAATAAAATAAAGTTATCATTTCTGTGTGTCAAATTTCACTTTGCACGCACGATGTGAAGTTGGATGCAAATTTGGAAAGAATCTTGCCCGTTCATTATAAATGTTTCATCATAAATTTCAGTGACCAACTTTTTAGGATATGTTTCTTATTATTTTCATATTTAAAAAAGAGACAATTCATAATCATGTCTTTAATTTGAGGCAAAATTTAGGATGCATTGTAAAGTGGAACGAAAAATTAAAATTTGGTCTGTCCCTCCTAATAATTTGGAGTGTTTGGTTCATCGTAAATATCAATTTAACTAATATTATGCGCCTGGAAACTAGTAATCATTAAACACGTGAACGTTTTATTTAAAATCTGTTATTTATATTGACAATTCAGCAATTACTACACTTCTTTTCGAATAGACTTTCTGTCAGAAGTCTTCCAGCATCGTTATTTGAGAAAAGTATTGATGATCGGATTACGTGATATATAGACATATAGAAACATTTTTCTTAGTCATTCTTGACGAGCCGTGCAAAATAATTCGTTCATTCTTATTCGTCTCATGTAGATATTCGTCAGACAATTTTCTGGCTCTCGCGAGATCTTGTTTACCGAATTTCAAAAGCGGGTCAACAACGTCACCGAGCGGTCAGCCAATGGACATGGAGGCCGAGCGGAGGTTGTGCCTGAATCCGTGATCTCGATTGGCTGACAACGAGCGAGCAAGAGAGATGGTGTTATGCACTCGCTGAAAACTCGTTTTCCTTCGGCTCTCGACTACGTGCACGTGCACTCGTTCACATATGTATCCCTCGCTACGAAACACTTTCGAACAACAAGGTTAGAGCATCGAGGGAACACCCTGCAAGTGTATAATGAAATAATTTATTTCTTATAATCGAATTTCTTTCTAATATATATAGATCTTTGAAATGTGGTTTGATTGATGTCAATTTTTTACAAATACAAATAACTTTATTCGTTATTAATCTAAAGTTCTTCTTGACAAATCTTGATAGAATTAATTTCAGGTCTACAAAAATATCAATTTGCCTGTTAGAAAAGATTGAGAAGAAACAGCAATTGTAAACAGTATATAAAAATGTTGTATAAACTCAATCTTGTTTTAACAATGAGAAAAAAAATGCACATTCTTCTGAAAACTTCCATGTATTTTTGATCGTTAAGCAAGGTTAACATCGATTTCTCGAAGGCCAAGTGGTACCGATGCAATTAATACGATTGTAACGTATCTCATTGTAAGATAAGACAAACGCGAGAGCTAATAGTTGATAGCTACATTCTATCGGTTGTTTACTCCAATCTCAAATTCATAATTATATTTTCCAGATGTTAGCTGCTGCATTTATTGAAAACAATGACGTATTACTACTAATTTTTTAATTCTTCAATGACGGCTCAGTTTCATTAATTCCATTTGTTGTATTCATTATACGACGCTTTTTGTATCGCAGATAATTCAATGAGAATCCAAGCTTCGTGAATCTTTCGCGAGTTTCGAAGTTTTTGTTACACGACAAATTTCGTCAGGAAGAAATATAGAGATCGTGCAAATATATTAATAAATTAAAAAAAAAAAAAAAGCGTTATTTCGAGAACGCGCCTCGCCTCGCATAATAATCCGCACGTTGCACTCTGTTTTGTGCTTTGTGCTATTTTTAGTCCATCTGTGTTTTGTCGACGCCACCGCTGTTTTCTACATTGCGCATCTCTTTCTCTTGCTCATCCTTTTGCTTTTACCGATTTGCCTTTGTTGATTTGTGTTCTGTTATGTGTTCTATTACAAGCCCTTGTATCGCATTAACCTTGGAAAATTCTTTCAATTCACGGATCGATTCGCCGAAGTTTTAGTTCAGGTAATGTTTATGAAGAATGAAACTCTTAAAGTGTGTTCACGTGTGTATCAAGGTCGATCTTTTATATTCGTAATCATTAATTAATTGGGGGGAATTGCGACACTTGACGACTTGCGAAATATCCACAATTTTCTTTCTCTTTCCATACAGAAAATTAGAACTAGAAATATAAAATAAAACTTAGAAGACAAGAATAACTGTAAATAAAATCTATTTATCTTTTTCATTATACCAAGAATGACCCAAAAACAGGGTCGAAATGTATAATTTATTTATGTATTGTTATATATGTTACACGAATATTGTGTTGGCTCACATTGAATTTCTTATTTTGAGAGATATATTTCTGAAAAGAATGGCACTACGTCCCAAAAAGGGCACGTATATAGAAAAAAAAAAAAAGAAAACTCAATCTTATTATTTCAATTCAATCGAAAAAATTATAAATTATAATAAAGTTCAACGATCTCTGAATCTGATTTATTCAGATGTGTTTATTTTTAGAACCGTCATAAATCAAGAAATCATAAAAAGTACAAAATGTGTGAGCAGTTCTTTTACTCCGATTAAATTAGTATCAAATCTGCGAGTTGGGATTTTAAATCGATGATACATTTTTAATTTGCAGTTTCCTATTTAAACAAGACTGATGTATCTTGTAATCCTTCTAGAATCCTTAAAAAAATTTAATATTAATAGTAATATTGGCCAATTAATCACTTATTTTCAATATTAAAAATACTGTTAGCAATATTTTTTAATAAATAATTAATTGGCCAGTACTAGTATTAAATTTATATAAGGCAACACTTCGCGAATCGTTAAATCTGACGCGAAAAGGACCGTTGTGCATGTACAAGAAAAAAAATGTTAATACGCTTTCCCCTCATTGCACACGGTGGACGACGCGCAACAGGACGCCGAAAGAGGGCAAAGGGAATGCGCAAGATGACGTGCAAGAGCGTGGTTGCGACATGGCGCGTGGCGGCCGCCATCGTTGGCCACCCCCTTCCCTCCACATCGTCAACCCGTCGACGTTACGCTTGTCTCGTAAACATCGATAATTTCGTCTTGGATCTAAAAATCTTCACAGAGGATGAAATGATTAATCTCCAAACATCGAAACGAATTAATATGCAAATGAAATCAAGCCGTCCGGCAAAATTATCGAGCAGATACATGACAGTCGGAAGAGTCGCGGTTTGTCCAAGTAAATTTTATGAAATGAAGGAAGAGGGGGAAACAAATCTGAAAAATCAAGCAACTCGAGGAGAGATGATTTTGACGATTCACTTCGCGGGGCTGCCGGAGCATGCTGCGCGCGTAGCGTATATAGTTAAGCAGGTTAGGGTCAGGTTGGGTTAAGTTACGTTAAGATTGACATCCAGATGAGACGAAGTTTGTTCTTTTTAGCAGTAAATACTGGAAATTGTAATTTTTATTTCGCACGATGAAATGAATCTACGCGAAACTTTCAAACGTCGTTTTTTTCCACCGGAAGGAAAGGCAGATTTATGGAGGATAAATACGATCAGAGAGCACAATTGAAGACAAATTGCAAAATTGCCATGACTGAAAGCAAGCCCGTGTGATAACGGCGGCAGCGACGGCGGCGCGCGCCATGACAGGTGATACTCGCGACGCTTACGCGCGGCACGAGATACAACACGATGTGTGATTATATTACAAACAAATAAAATCCCAGCATTCGATCGCGGGACGCACCAAATGCCGCGCGATGCAACGAACGTGACGAGACCGTGAGAAAATCGACGTAACAGTCGGCATGAACGTGAGAGCTGCATCGGAGCTTTCGTCCGCAAGAGAAAACGCGAGACAATTCATTTACAGCGAACTTCGTGTGACAGGAGGAAAGCGGCACGCGACGACCGTCGTGGAGTCGCAGCGATAGTAGTGTATCGCGTGAAGTTGCCACGGCGAAACAAGCAATGTGAAGGCAATCGTGGCGGCGATCCGAGACCGCCACCGCCGCGAACATATTTGCCAGTCCCACGGCGCGTATTGACACGTGACACTCCCGTATTCAGCGACAATTTCACGTAACACGTCACTTCGACCGCGTACATGCCGCAATTCCGCAAAGTTTCCCTTAAAAAACGGTATAAAGGCGCAAGCACTTACCTCAAGCCGTGAGACAGGTGACGGCGGCCGGACACTTTTGAGATGGTTTCGCTTTGCGCACGCTCTTTGCGCTAAGGACTTATTTAGCGCTGCCAACGGCGCAAGGGAAAAATTCATAGTTCCTATACTTAAGACGCGGCGATGCTAGGGAATAACATGTCTCATGCATCGGCCAATCGGCATTTCTCTTTTCCGGAAATGTTGGATTTTTTATTGAATTTTGGAACAAAAGTTTGTAGCGTTACAAACTTCAAAATTCAAATGGTTGTAACTTCGTTAAAAATAAACAAAATTTAAGTTTAAAAAAAGGGTTTTAAAACCTAAAATCTCTACTTTCGAAAGGTTACTATATTATTCGAGTTTCTGTGAGTTCAGTAAATTGTTATATATATAGAAAAAATTACGAACTGGACAAAATAGGAAATTTTTTCTCTTTATGAGCCTGTTACATGTCTTTAAGATTGTAAATTATTAATTATTTTAAATTATATTTAAAAGTAATACAAAAAAATTAAAGACAGTTTATTACCGTCCAGATCAAAAGTTATTTCAACATAAAGTAATGTTTTTTAAATTTGTGCTCTAATAGAAATATATGGAAATATATTGTAAAATAATGATAAAAATCTCAATTATTTAATTTCAATTATTTATAAGTACTTTATGAATTTAAGAATATTTATGCAAAGTATTGGAACAATGTAGGACATTGGTTATCCAGTAAGTAAACAAAATATTTATGTTATGTATAAACTAATTAGTGAATCTCAATGAAACTTTGCACTAGTTATTTTTAATATTTAAAGTACTTATAAAAAAATTTAGATGTTTATCATTCTTAAAATTTTTGTTTATAACAATAAAAATAACAAATAAAATAAATAACCTATAAAAATGTGTTGCTCAAATAAAAACAGAATGATTACGTTTAGTAGAAAAAGCAGCTTTGTAACTTGTTACAAATTCTTTAATATAATTGATTTATATATTTAGATCCAATAAGGAACTAAGCACAAGATCAATCACATCAAGGAATTTTACAACAGTAAAGCTGCTTTTTCTGCTAAACGTAGCCAACATCATGAACACAATTTTCATATGTAGTACATACATATTTCAATATGCTTTAAAGCATAAATATAAATATATGTTTTATGCCTTTACAACCTTCTTAAAAAAAATTTGCAAAAAATTTTAACTTTCTAATACAAAGGCTTAAAATTGTCCCTATAAAATCATTTTTTTCTTATATTTCTAAGATTTTTTTATTAATGAGTTATCGTGGATTAAATAAAGAGTATTTGATTTTAATTGCTCATAACTTCGTTAAAAATCATCCGTGCGTATCGAAATTTAAAAAGGAGTTTTTTAAAGCTGACACCTTGTTCTATCAAATGGTATAATTGCCAAATTTTTCAAAAAAAAATTTTTTTTTAAATATATGATACAAATATGAAAAATAGCGCTATGAATTCTTACTATGAACGTTATAAACGTTTTATATAATACTTTTACTTTAAAACTTATTGCTTTTAAATAATTTTGTTTTTAAACTAAGTAATAATAATAGCATTTGTGTTGGTATTTCTTATCTTTGAATATCCAATTTTAAAATGTTTGATATATTTCCACATTCGTGAAATGATTTGTACAAATTCATTCATTAAGTTAACTTTGTAAAAAAAGTTAACTGAGCTGAAAAATATAACTGTCCAAAACTAGAAAAAAAGGACACATGAAATCGTATCAATGTTTATTACATTGGAACGAAATAGTCTTTATTTCAATTGCAACTATTAAACATTCTTTATAATAAAATATAACTTTTTTCAGAATAAATTATTAAAAACGATTATTTTTGACAGAGTTCGCCTGAAACTTTTGAACAGCATTTTCTATTATGTACGTTAACAATTTGTCAACCATCAATTTCATCGGCCATCTAGGACTATATGGTGCATCATCCAATACTTCTCTGTATAAAATGCCTTGTGATGTCATATGATATACCGATTGTAATGTAATTTGTGGTTTTTCTTTCGGGAATATTGATGGAAGATTAAAATGTATAAGAAAATGAAAGTCTCGGTGTTCTAGCAGAATAATAATCCAATTAAACTCTATAGCATCGTATTCTACTATGCTACCGCGTTGTAATACAAGTAGAAACACGATAAACTCTTTTCTGTTTTCAAAACACTGAACTGCACTGTTTATCTGCAACAGAGAGTATATATAAATATTGTTTGTAAATTGTAATTTTGTAAAATATATGAGAAATTACATACTTTCTCTTCCATGAATTTTATTACTTCGGGAACATAATCCATTAGATATTTGTTGGGCGGTAATGGTGGAATGTGTAAAGATTCCGGCCTACCGATAGCATCCTCCAAGGTCTTAGATAAATAAAGTTGCGGCGAAATACGATTCCAATCTGGACCATAAAATGTAACTAGAAGCATTGCTTCGTCATTTTGCGACTTATTTATACGTGGAGGTAACCGTGTATAATCCATAGATATGCGAATTAAAAATCGTGCTTCCATAGGCTTCAATCCTAATAACACCATCACTTCTATATCTTCTTTACATATTTCTGTTTCTCCAACAAGTGTGCTGTATTCAAGTTGTAATCGATCTCCCTGTGTTCCAAGTAACTGTATCTGGAAATAAAAATTGAATCTTTAGCTTCATGAATATGATAAATTTATATTTTAAGCTCTGTAAAATGTAAACAAAGTAATATGCAATAAAATTATTTGCTGTTTTAAGTATCTTATTAACATTTAATTATTAATATTTTTCTAAAATACTTATTAGAATCAAAATTATATAAATTGTTTGTCAATTTATTATGTGATATTATTATTCTAATTCTATTCATGATTGTGTCTTAAAAATGAAAAAGATTTCAGCACGCAGTTTGCAGAATTGGATATATATTTAAGTTTACACTGAAATATTTAAGAATTAAGATCTGCTTTGACCTAAAAATAGGATTACTCTTAATTATATTTATTCTTATCTATATTTAGTCTAATCTTAAATTATAATTCCTATAAAATATATTATACATCAAATTCATCAGAGAATGTACATTCTATATAATCAACAAAAATATATATGTAAAATTATTGCTTACCTGATGTTCCTTGTAATACAATAACAACTCCATTAGTACATTGAGCAGTGCGTCGGTATTGTTAGGATTCCATTTAACAAGACTAGGTACCCAAGTAGATAAAATATCAATGTCTGGATCCATTAAAAAATTTTGATCATTGAATATGAAATCTGGACCCATTTCTGGACATTGTGAATCAAATAACACATTCCACATAAGGTGCTCTCCAGCATAGGGAATTAATAATTTGAAACAATCATTTTTGTTCTTATTGCAACTCGATGATACTGAATCCAATTTTATCGGACCATAAGAAACACCTTTAAAAAATGTAATATATCCATAACAAAAATACCAATTTTATTATAAAAAGCAAATAAAATAAAAATTAACAATAAAACTTACCAAGTCTTTTAGTTTGTAAAACACGTTTCAAAAGCGGCTCTATATAGGAGTCTATGGTACTCAACAGAGGATGTTGTTGATTTAGCATCTTATTCTCAAAATTGAAGAAACTATAACATAATCAAGTTGAATGAAAGAAATCAATATTCCACTAGTCTACTTTGGATTTTGAACTGAACAGCTTTTATCTGGCAATATTATGTATATGCCTGAATGGATTCCTATTAAATATCATCCCCTTTAAAAAAAACTGATAGTTTTTGCAATTTAATCTTCTTAAATATCATATAACAGCTAATGATTACTGAGAACTGATAAGAAGAAAGTAACCTCTCCAACTATTCCACAGAGGTTATATATACATAATACAGAGAATATTATTCGTCAATTTTTGGCCGATGCTGCTAGCGGTTTTACTTATTTTAATATTAATTTTAGGTTAATATTAAATTTCAACCAATTCGTTGTTTCTTCTTTTTCGTTTATGAATATAAATGACAGAAACAGAACTGAAACATTCCATAAAATTCAATTAATGTTAGGACTTGCGCACAATAGAAGGAATAAGGAATTAGGAATGAAGAATAAACAATTTCAACCTATCAGAAATTATGTATTCCGATGTATCCGATTTCTGTGTGTGTGTGTGTGTGTGTGTGTGTGATAGGTTAAAATATTTTTTTCTTAATTCCTTATTTCTTCTATTGGCCTAGTTTACATCGTGCATTTGATACACATACTACTAGTAACTTTCTATTAAATTATTTTAATTTTAGTAATGAAATATTTAAAAAATAATATACTAAATTAGTACAGTACACATCATAGGGCCAGTTTCACCAACGCCAGTTAGCTTAATCAACCATTGATTGACCAATCGCGTTTGCTGTTTAATAGAATCGACCAATTGCGGTTAATCACGATTAAGCTTGATCGGCGTTGGTAAAACCTGCCAATAATGATTAATTAAATACACATATCATGTATATCCAACGTACCGCTGAAATTAAGATCATTCAATAGAAAGTTATTAGTTAGTATTCGTATCAAGTCCACGATGTAAAACCATTGTGCGGCCTTGAGTCCTAGACACAATGCAAAGAAATAGCGATAGCGATAGAAATAACACGATTTCAACCTATTAAAAACTGTATATTCCAGTGTATCTAATATCTGATAGATAACAAGTTGAAATCGTGTTATTTATTTCTATCGCTATCGCTATTCCTTCGCATTGTGTTTGGGTCTTTAATTCCGCAATTAGAGATCCTATAATTTAAGGCCAGTATCCTCTGAGTCGAAATTTATAGCAGAACTGAACAGCGTGACCAATCACAACTCTGCAGTCATTACTGTTTTCTTTTTTGCAATTGCGATTGGTCTCGTCGTTCCGCTGAATTTCTGCTCATAGGACGCTAACATTAAAGTGCCTACTGATGGACGCGACAGCGCAGCACTTTAGAAGAAACTAGTGTTTTAGGAACGGGTTTGTTCTATTAGCTTTAAGGTGATGCAAAGTGCATTCCACTATGCTTGTTCTACAATAGAGTCGCAAGTCGTAAACCGTAAGAAATTAGTCAATTACAGTTAAGTGTGAAAAAAATAATTGATTAATATCTTACGGCTTGCCGGTTACGACTTTGTTGTAAAACAGGCTTAATGCGTCGTCTATGCAGTAGCAGTAATAGATTAAGACATAGAAATCAACAAATCATAGTCAAATGTGAGAAAGATAATTAACTATCATTGATCGATTTCTACGTCTACTTCTTAATTCACTGTTACTGCCTATTATAAACCATGCATAAGATATCGCACACAAAATTCCGCAACAGTGATCGTAAGATATAAATTTAAGCCGATAAGCCAATCAGGATATTGCTTTAGATATTCTGTCAATTAGAATTAAAAGTTTAAAAGAATTCTCGACTGTAATTGGCTTATTCTTACTGTTTTAAGGCCATAGCACATATCTTCCGTAAAGGGAATTTTTTTACATAGAAATCGTAGATAATCGTGGAATCTTAAAAGACTTCGCACAATAAAAAGAATAGGGAACAGAGAACGAAGAATAAGAATTTCAACCTATCAGAAACAGTGTATTCCACATATATGATTTTTGATAGGTTGAAATTTTTATTCTCTGTTTTCTGTTTTCTTTAATGTGTAGAGCCCCTAATGCCCATTTCCACCAACGTGGATTAACTTTAATCTCGGTTCAACTTACTCTTTATCTATTTCTAGTTCTAAAGATTAAAAAAAGATGAAGAGTAAGTTGAACCGAGATTACCATAAAGTTAATCTATATTGGTGGAAACGGGCATAAGTAGGAAACTGATCAGAATTCTAATTGGGTATTCTCTTTATATTTGATTGTGATTGGTTGGTTTCCTACGACTTAAGACTCCACGACCGTATACGACTTCTATATGTAGAGGACCCTTTAAGCCGGTTCTACATTAGCTGATCTCAAATTTGTTGCGACAGTCAATATAAAGCGTTGATTACAAAATACAAACTTCAGATTAGTTGTCGCAACAAACTTGCGATCAGTTTGCAACTAATGTAGAACCGGCTTTAAAGGCCCTTAGGGCTGCCGCAGACAAAATTTCTGTAACAGTAACTTTAAGACGTGAACTTAAGCCAATGAGCCAATCAGGATACTCCTTTAGATTTAAATACTCTAACGGAAATAGAAATAGCAGTAAGAAATAGCGTTTGATTGGTCGAAATTTACCTCCTTCTTGCCCTATCATGCGCAATGCTTCACGCTCCGTATGCTATGAGACAGCTGAGAAAGTAAACAGACGTCGCAGACACAGATATATGTATCAGGTCAAAGTCGGAATTGGAAATATACTGACTAGAAGAAGAAGAAGGTCAAAGTCCAGCACTATATGGTTTTTTTGATTGTGACAGGTTTTTAGTGACACATCAAACGTAATTGGAAAAAAGATCGTGTTAATATCGTATCTCACACAATATGTTCCCTCTTCTGAAAAATTGCCTCGTCGCAAGACAGGGAATTGTCAATTATGGTATGAGATAGTCATTTTTTAAATAATCAATTAAATATTATATTTAAAGCACACACAGTTTTACTGATATAAAGTCTATAGAGAGTGAATATCAAGAATAGTATATTTAGACTTGAATTTTCTTTTTTCGATATGTAAATACATATAATTATGTTATTTTTGTATAGTACATACACACTTCTACAAGATTCAAAATTTATATTTATTTTTGAGTTTTAAATAATTAATATAAATTTAAATAATTAAATATAAATTTCTAAGTTTTAAATAATATATACTTGTATTTCGTGGTATTTGCTCTGTATCATTTAATAAATTATTAGTATAAATATATTTTTATGTATTATTATTATCATCAGTAATACATATTTTTTTAATTGTTATTTTAGCAGAAGTTCTCACCCGTTATTCTGGAATTTCTATAAACAAGGCATATTCTACAAAAAGTGATAGTACTTCAAAAAATATTGTATATGTTGATGGAGTACGGACTCCGTTTTTACATTCTGGAACTGATTATAAGAAACTCCTAGCTTATGATCTTGCAACACATTCGCTAGTGTAAGTCATCATTATATTGATATATATCAATGTAAATAATCACAAATATAACTCCAAATATCTCTTACAAAATAACTTTAAGAAGTTCAGTATTCTATATCTTATCTTTTAATTGCAAATGTTGATCGTTAAAGTAAATTATTTTTTACTATTTTATAGGAGCTTGCAAAAAAAGATTGGGTTCCCCAAGGAAATAATTGATTATATTGTTTATGGCACAGTGATGCAAGAAGTCCGAACTTCCAATATTGGAAGGGAAGCTGCTCTAGCCGCAGGATATAGTGAGCATACTCCTGCACATACAGTAACGATGGCGTGCATTAGCAGCAATCAGGCTATTACTACTGGCATGGGTTTAATTGCATGCGGTGTTTATGACGCTATTATAGCAGGAGGAGTAGAATTTATGTCAGATGTTCCAATTCGACTTAATCGATCCATGAGATCTCTAATGCTGCAAGCCAATAAAGCAAAAACTCTACCAAATAAATTAGCTCTCTTGGCCAGTATCAGACCAAATCATTTTATACCAGATGTAAGTTTGATGTATCATCTTTCTATTTTTTTTTTTTCAATAAAATGTATTTTATATATAAATATTATATTTACAAATATCTATAAAAATAATAGAACTATTTTTTTAATTTTTTAAATATCTTACAAGAATTTACGTCTGTATAGCTACCAGCTGTGGCAGAGTTTTCAACTAATGAAACTATGGGACACAGCGCAGATCGTTTAGCAGCGGCATTTGATGTTACACGCAAGGAACAAGATGATTACGCATTGCGTTCTCATACTTTAGCCGCACGAGCACAGCAACAGGGACTGCTGTCGGATGTAGTCCCTTATAAAGGTGGACTAATGTTTCAATATTTAATTTATATATTCATATTTTATTCATTCAATACTTAACTTACGTACTTATACGTTTTGCTTTATTTTTCTGTATTGCAGTTCCAAACGTTGATAAAGTTGTCGATAGGGACAACGGCATTCGCGTATCTACGGAAGAACAATTAGCAAAGTTGAAACCTGCGTTTGTTAAACCTTATGGAACAATTACTGCAGCCAACGCATCTTTCTTGACTGATGGTGCGTCGGCGGCGTTAATAATGAGCGAAGAGAAAGCTCTTCAACTTGGCTTAAAACCTAAGGCATACTTGCGAAACTTCACTTATGTGTCTCAAGATCCAGTTGATCAACTACTTCTAGGACCATTATACGCAATCCCGAAAGTATATAATTTCTATCATTATTATTACATATTATTTATATAACTGAATAAAATAATTTATATAAATATTTACATAATTTATATAAACACGTTTGTAGATTTTGGATAGAGCAAAATTAACTATGAAAGATATAGGAGTGTGGGAGATACACGAAGCGTTTGCAGGAATGATCTGTGCTAATCTGAAAGCAATGGATTCTGATTTGTTCGCTCAAAAGTATTTAAAGAGAAGTTCGAAAATTGGTGTACCAGATCTAAACAAGTGGAATGCTTGGGGAGGATCCTTGTCGATTGGTCATCCATTTGCCGCCACTGGAGTACGATTAGCAACGCATACCGCTAATCGACTTATTAAAGAAGATCAACAATTCGGACTTATCGCGGCTTGTGCTGCTGGCGGACAAGTAAATAAAGATTTATGTTACATATAATGCAAATAATTTTTATAAGAATCTTAATTAGTTTTTATAATAATCTTACTATAAATTTTCTTTTCTCTTTTTGAATTTGTAATTTTGATATTTTTTTTACAGGGAGTTGGTATGATTATGGAACGATATCCTGGTGCTACAATCTAATCCCGCTTTTCGAGGAATACATTTATTTATATATATATATATAAATAGATAATAATTAATAGAGAAATAGTGAAATAATATTTTTCTACGTGAGAGATATTAAATTATGAAACTTTTTTAAGAAAGCAATTTTTTATTAGCTAGATAGAAGTTTATGTACAGTGAGATAATTAAATTATATAAGAATGTCTTACAGAATATCAAATGTAATTGTCCTTTTTCTTAGTCGAGTGAATTATGCAGAAATGAAGGCAACAGATTTGCAGTTAGATGATGCCTCACGCCATGATCCAATATATTCTTTATATCCTGGCAACCTTGTAACACGCGTTGTTTGAGTGTTTCCAAACGTGACAAATGTAATCTCTGACCTGCCCCATGTGCTACTACTATCAAACCATTCCCACCCACTTCAATATCATTATTTGTTTCTGCTAATGCAACAACAGACAAAGTAACTCCTGGCGAACATTCCTCTACATAGTTTGCATCTAATACTCCTGCAGCTAACGTTTTATCTTCATCTTCTCCCGACGGCTTGTTAACAAGAGTTACGCTACAGCCGATGGCATAATTCTGTAATTAGAAATTTATTTCATATATAACGGTATGGTTCACATTCTATTTAAAAAAAAAACAAAATTGTCTCTTTAGATATTAACCTTGATTGGAATTCCAGCATCAATCAATGCAAGTGTTGCAGCATTTACAGATGCACAATAATCACTGCCGTCAACTTGTAGAACTTCTACGAAGACATCGATCTGAGAGCGTGGATACAGTTCTAAGTGTATTATAGCCTCCATGGCATGACGTAATTGTGCTGACCTCTCTTGTGATTTCCAATCTCCTCTGGGTCTTCGCTTCCGTTCACCAGAGGTAAAACTAAACACAGCCATGCTGTACTGGCAATTTATGATAGCCTTTGTACTATTCCTTGATGCGCTGCTTCTTGACTAAATCATAAAAAGAATATATAAATATTGTATGGTGTATCTCAAGATAAATGTCAGAATAAAAATTCAGTAATTAAAATAAATATTAAGTCTAAAGAAATGTACTCGTGCTTTGAATAGAAAAATAATGTGTAATTGTAGAAAAGTAAATAACGACCATGGTATACTTCCTAATCTCTTTAAAAGTTACAATTATAATTTCTTAGGCCCAGTTTCATCGATGTAAGATTAACTTTAATCTCAATTTACTTTTTATCTTTTCCTAATTCTAAGAACTAGAAAAAGATACAGAAAAGAACAGTAAGTTAAGTCGAGATTGAAATTAAATATTACACTGATGGAACCAGGCTTTCATCGCTTCTCTCAATCAAAATATATAAACGTAATTACTAGTTCGTTTTTTACAGTAATTGTGAAAATGTTTTAAAACTGATCTATACCTGACGAGGACCGTACACCGCTGCTAGAACCTTCGTGTTGCCATGTTCTATATATGCACTGCCATCGGCCTGCCCGAATACTCCCATCCGCATACGGATTTGTCTCAATTCCAACGCTCGTCTGCCGTCAACGCGAAGTCCACCTTGATCATTCTCTTGATTTGGATCCATTGTATGTTACTGAATGATGCTGATTGATTAAAACGAGAGAGTTCCTAACCTTTAACGTACAATATTGTTTACATACGTACACACGTGGTGGAGATCAGTGCAGGTTGCAGCCGTTACAGGTGCAGATGCGAATGTTAGCACTATCTTTAGAGAAATTTTCAGTAGAGAAATGGAGACAAAAGCGCGTAATCATCAGGGTTGCCAGGTGTGGCGCTTTTCCGTTAAAATGGCGCCTTAAGATAGTGATTTGACGCTTTAAAACAATTTTGGCGCTTGGCGCGAAAATGGTATCTTGAAAAGAAATTATAAAAATAAAAAAAGAGTTCATCGTTTCTCATCACTGAACTATATATACACTGGAATGGGCATCTCCGCTGTGAAGCAAGAAAATCGTGGCACCAATTGATCAGTGCCATTTTAATTTGTCAATATAAGAGCGAATCAGAAACTTTCACGTGCTCATGCGCACTTACGTTTAGTGTTCTGTATAAGACGCATATGACAGCGAGATCATCGTGTGTGAGGTTATATTTGAAAGATTACTTTGTAAAGATTACAAAATTGCGTTACTGTAAAATATACAAAGCATCAACATGAAGTACTGTGTGCCTGGGTGTGGGCAGAGAAATAAAAAGGACATTTCATTTCATAAGTAAGAAACTTTGAATTAAATGTATCAATTCCTACATATGTAGGATATGAAAAGTGTTATTAATGTTATTTTATTGAATGTACTAATAAAATCGAAGTGACATTGTTTTTGTTTGCATACCATTCATGCCCATATAGATTTTCATACATCGATAGTATATCGATCGATACATTGATCGCAGTACGTGCGTGAACGCTTCTGATTCGTTCAAATATCATCCCAATTAAAATGGCGGCTGATCAATTGTGGCCACAAATTTCCCTCGATGCCCATTCCAGTGTATATATAGTTCAGTGTTTCTCATAGTGGTTGTTGTTGGCGCGTTGAGTGTTGAAAGTTGTCACTTTGGGGTCTGGAAAACCTGGCAATCTTGATAACCACTGGTAACCACCCAGCAAATGAGAATGAATTAAAATGGATTAAAATTGTTTTCTATCCGAATGCGTATTTTAAATAGTGAAATACTTTTTTTTTAGATTCAATTAGATTCAATTGGATGTGCAATTGGATTGAAAAACTTCATTTCCTATTCAAAATTTTGAATTGAACAATATTCACAATGCACAGAAAAAGCTAATATTATTTTTAGATTGAAAGACATAAAGATATGCTTCATGCAATTCTTATAAATGAATAAAAATGCATTCAGGATTGAAAAGCATTTATTTTAACATTCGTGAATCAATATTTCTGAAAATCTGACTTCATTTCAATTCATTTCAATCTATTCTCGTTTGCTGGGCAGAGTTAAGGGAGAGTGGAGCGAATTTAGCCGGAAGCCGCCGTTTGTTGGAGTGAGTAGGAGATATGATAGAAGCGTGATGGAACATATGGTACAACATACACTAGTATTGTACCGCTCTAATATTGTGTGTATGTATATATATTATATATATATGTACATGCACACATGCACATTTCCGGAAGTGGCGGAACCAATCAGAGATGAGAACGCTATCCGTCCACTCTCCCTTGATTCTCTCTGCTGATAACCACCAGTAACTATGGCCCACGCGTAACCGGTGTAACGAGAGTGCGCAGTTCTGCTTCTTCTGGCCGGTGGATTTCCGATTTCTTATAGAAATCGCAGTACCAAATAAAGATCACTGGACTCTGGGCTGAAAGGGGCCAGTCAGATCAATACATCATAAGAGTGTGCAGTTACTAATAGCAACTAGCAGTTTGCTATCAAATGAAATCTAATCTTGAATCTAACTTCGTTTGATTCAATTTTGTATTTATCACTAATGGAATTAATTTGTATAAATTTATATGAATTCCTTGATCTGAAAAGATTGTATGACAAATTACTTGATTATTTTATAAATACATTTTAAGCTTTAAAAAAATTGAAGTAAAAATTGAATGATCAATATTTTGGGTCGCGAAGTGTGTTCGCAGTGTTGTTTATAAACAAATACGAAATATTATAAGGTATTTAATTTATGTATTCGAAAATGAAGAGGATTAAAATTGTGCCAGACAGGCCGAATCGCCTATTTGAAAGCTGGTTAGAAGAATGGAGGAACGAAGCGGTGCTCCGAAATTCAGAGCTGCATAATCACTTTGCGAAGGCTTTGGATTCGCTGAAACGATATCCACTACCGTTGGAGTCCGGTAAAGAGTGCATAATCCTGCAGCACTTTGGTACAAAACTATGTTCGATGTTAGATAAAAAGCTGGAGGAGTACAGAAGACAGGAATCCATCAGAGTAGTTGACACTTGCGTCTCCAAGGCTGGCAGTAGTAACGAAGATTGTATAGCCATGTCGAGAAAGAAACCTGTAGAAGAGTGTCAAACAGTTAAAGTACAGGAGAAAACGACGGTGTCTAAACAAGCTAAAAATACCAAAAAGAATGCACCGGAAAAATTGGTAAACGTAAATGACATTGGACTGAAGGAAGCTGATAGACAAATTTCCTTTGAACCGAATAATTTTGATATTATATTATTAGTGGATACTCAAGAAACTTGTGGGTGAGTATTTACGTGTACAGTTGCGATTTATACTGTTAACTATAAAAAGCTTTTTAGCTATGTGAGATATATTCCAGTGGAAAAACAAAGCCTCAGCATGATGCTACGATCGCAGAGTTGACACAGCTTGGTGTACTGTTCGAAGTACGTCGTTTGAAGATTGGTGATTTCACATGGATAGCCAGATGTCGAAAAACTAACGATGAATTAATTATGCCTTACATAATAGAACGGAAGCGAATGGATGATTTAAGTGCAAGCATCGTGGACGGAAGGTTTCATGAACAAAAGGTAATAGAAGTGTAATTACTTTTTGGTACATTCTTGATTTTCCTGTGTATCTGATTATGCATATATTCTTTGTTTCTATATATTCTTTATTTCAGTTTCGATTGAAGCAATCTGGTATTGAGAATTTGATGTATATAGTAGAAAATATTGATAAGAATTCTCGATATTCTGTACCGCTCTCATCATTGTTACAAGCTTCTGTAAATTGTTTGGTACAAGACGGCTTTACTGTAAAATATACAAGGAATCACAAAGATTCTATGTTACATTTGTCATGTATAACAAAGATTTTAATCAAACTGTATAAGGTATGCAAAAAATACTGTATAATTGTGCATGTAAATGTTTATTAATGTTTATAGATTTTATGATAAATAATAATTTTACATTAGGATAAGAAACTTATTGGATGCAAGAAAGAATATCTTACTCAAACAGACAATGTAGGTAGCGCAGTACGTCTTATGGAGTTCAAAGAATTCAATAAAGCATCCTCTAAACAAAGGGTATATATCAAACATTTTCTACGTGATACCTACAAGAAATGCTTCAATTTATCGATATTATTTCCTTTCAGACATTCAAAGTGAGCGAGATGTTTATTCGTCAGTTATTACAATTGAAAGGCATATCCATCGTCAAAGCCATGGCAATTGTGGAGTGTTATGCCTCACCGCAAATTTTAATTACAGCTTTGGAGAATTCTGGTAAGAATGGCGAACAGTTATTAGCAAATATTCAAGTTGACAAGAAACGACGGCTCGGGCCTGCAATTAGTAAGACCATTTATCAGCTTTACACAATGAATGAGTTAAGATGACTAATACAGAGGTACAATTATACTATAATAATTGAATATATTTTTTATCGCTATTATTAAAACTTTATATATTTCTAAATAATTAATTCTAAAAAAGATAGTGAGTTGGCTGAAAAGTAATGCAGTCGTACATAACTCGTAAAGAAGAGATTTGAATGTAATCAAAAGGACATGAAAGTGCATTTTATTTGCTACAAGAATGTAGCATTACCTTTTGACGCGTAATTACTATTTACAGTTATACATTTCTCTCAACGATGAACCAGTATTTTCACTCGGTCAATGAAGAATTTTGACAATCTTTCCTTGGTCCATTGTATCTTTCATCATCCAAAAAATAAATCCTAGTGACATTGTCATTTACAAGTCATTTACAGTGATGAAACTGTTCATTAAAGTACTATGAATAGGTATGCAATAAAATTTCGTGCGTTGGAAGTTGGCGAATTTGGCACCTTGCGATTTTTACTTCTTTCCAAATTTAAGGAGAGATCTTAAGGGCATTTATTTTACCATGAATGATGAAGTGAAGAACGCAGTGAAATCGTGGATTAAGAAAAGACTGCCGGAATTCTTTTGGATGAGAAAACTGGTTTACCGTTGGAAGAAATGTATAGCTGTAAATGATAGAAAAATAATGGTACGTTCTTGTAGCCTGCATTTTTATGCCTTTTTTTATTTTATTCAAATATCTCTTTCCGTTTAAGTTACATGCGACTGTGCATTACTTTTCAGCCAATCCACGTATCATGATCTTTTAATAAAATTTTTCAAGGATTATTGTAAAATAAAACAATTAGAATACATGTACAAACAAGAACTTAGATGTCCGCTTTTTTTTTAAATAAGCAAAGTATGATACTGCCTCTACATTTCGTGATTTGAATCATATATATATATGTTAGTTTTCACAAAAAATATAAAAGAATTATTTTCATTTCTACTATCGAAACATTGCTTAAAAAATAGAAAAAATTATGAGTGGAAAAAGCCTGAAAAAATGTGGGAAGACTACATAGTTAGATTTACAGTTTATCGGTGAACAATTAATTTATATGTTTATATTAAGTTACGCGGGTTAGCAACTAATTGTTGACAAAAATGCACAGGACACGTGTTTGTGAAGTGTTTATGAGTGTCAGCACATATCGCACAAAAATCACGTATACATAAATTATTAATGCATAATATAAACTATATAAAAGAACTCTCGAAGTTCGATAAAAATATAAAGAAATATGGAACTATGAGAGTCTGGCGCGGTAATTGGGCATTTCTACATTTTTCTATATAATTTATTTGGACTTTCTGTGTGCTGGATCCGTTTTTGTGTGGACTGCTACCACTCGCGAGATTTTATTCTTTCAAAATTTCTTTCTAATCGTTACAAACATTGTCTTCGTTAACATCTGATTTTAATATAGGATGAACATATTTTTGTCTAGTCTTCCAAGTAATTGGATGATGAAATTTTGTTTTGATCTATTGATCTTTCGCCTAGCAGTATCTAGCACGATATGCAATTTTCAACGTCTTAATCTTCGCGGTTTTTGTCGTTGATGAGAGCTTAAATATTGGAGCTGAAACGTACGAGCAAAATATTATAAGATTCTTAATGATTGACTAAATGATTAAATTTTATTTGTTGAAAATTATTATCTGTGCACTAATTAAGTAATTTCCATGCTAGACTCTCATAGCTTCACATTTCTTTATATTTATATTAATGTATTATTTTATTGAAGAAAGCAGTGATTTCATTTGCTTTTTCATACGATTTCATTGAATATTTGAACGGATTTTGACATATGACGATATTATGAAAAATTGTATGCTCTATCCGTATAAAAGGAAAAAGCTGCTTGTTATGTTGAAAAGTATGCATATGATAACTATGACTTGATACATACAATTGATACAATATTATAATTCTGAGACTTGGAAGTTTTTCGACTATAATAATACTGATAATAAATTAAACTCGCGAAATTGTCTCTTTTATTATGATACACGATGCAAATTCTATTTCAAGATTGTGCAATTGATTATGTCGATTATTTGTTGAGACGCGTGAAACTATTTTATAAATAATTTGAAAAATGATATTGATATTGAGAAATAGTATATGTATCAGTATATAAAATTATCGTACAATACATTTGTCGCATCTTGAGTCTCAAGTATCGCACTATTTCCATCTATACCCGAATACGAATTACGTAGGTAATTGCCAACTTGCAAGAGCCGTCCTTTTTCCTTTATATATCATCATACACATGTTCGCGTGTATACAGAGATCGCTAGTAAAATATTTCTTCGTATATCTTCATCTCTGAAATTACAGATCGATCGTAAAATTACATGTATTTTACCTAGCGACACAAAGTTTCTCGTGGACGTATAACTTACACACATCTCAGAATATTTAAACGAATATGTAACTTAATTATGCAACATAAATATTAAACTAAATGTTAATCGGCTTATAAGTCGGTATTCATAATCGGATCTTATATTTAAGACCGTCTTAAGTACAGTCTTACGATGTCATGAATCAATCAGAGAGCTGTATTAGCATATCTTAAGACATTATTTAAGACGGTCTTAAAATAGGAATAGAGCATAATATGGCCCATAGAGTAATAAAAATAGAGCTATCTATATAAAAATTAATAATATAGATTTATCGATTTGCTTTCATTTGTCGGTAATATTATTCATTTTCATCAATTTTACTCACAAGTAAACCTACCCAAGTGTTACACTCCGATTTTCATGAGTTTTTAGTATGTTGTTCTCCAGGCAAAAATAAACGACATATTTTTTTATACGTGTCCATACGCCCTTTTAAGGGATGAAACACTCCTTTGAAAAAAATTTATATACATTAAAATATTTTATATACATTAATGTAGACTTGTAGATATAATAATATAGATATGGATGCGTTCCGTTTTGCGTTCCTTACACTGCTTACAACATGCTTGTAAGCATCATTTGTTCTTGTTTAATATTTGATAGACAACAAAGATGAACTGATACTTATACCATGTGAGCATGAAACGGAACGTATCCATTAGCAATATCTATTTATATGGAAGTAAAAATTGATATTACTTTTATGTTCAAATGTAGTACTTTCAATTACTATTAATGCGCAAAATAACTACGCTTAGCAAGGTTTCCAACAGTAAGCAAAAATAACACAATTAATAAAAATCATGAAATTTTCTATTCCAATATGGTATCAACGTGAATTCCGTTTCAAGATCGTATATAATACTCAATCAGATCGATTTGTTCGCTGTTCAGATGCGTATGAAGGATTATTTGTAAAAAATTAATATTTGTATATTGTCAAAATATACGAAATTATCATAATTGTACGAGACATTTTTCGAGTCTTCAGTTTTAAGTATTGTTCTTCTTTTCTTTTGTATTACAGATGTGAAATTGTAATTCTCGATACGCAAGAACCTTTCCCGTTTATACATAATTAAATACACATTTTCATATTTTCGTGTATTTTAGAAAATTATTATCGCAAATTGTTATAGAAAAATGTCAATAAAATATTTTTTTCCATGCATCTTTATTTTGAATAATTACAAATAGATTGTCGAATTGTTAAGTCCTTTCTTTAGCACATAAAATTCATCTTGCATTTCAAGATAACTTGCATTTCAAAATAATTTGAACAAATTTGTAGCTTAAATAATTAAATATGCAACGTAAATACATAGAAGCAAGTGTAATAACGTCGATGCTACTGTGAATCGAAGGAAAATTCAAATTACGGATAATTTTTGTTGCATCAAAGAAATGCATTGTAACTTAGCGGTTTTGAGTGCATATTTGATGCACCAAATCACTGCATTGAACGGAACACAGTAAGATAAGACAGAGAAGTTTTTACAACCTTTAAAAAATAAAAGATTTTTCTTGATAAATTACGCTTATGACAATAAAAATTAAAAACACAATAATGCAGTTATATATTTACCGTGGCAAAGTTATCGATGGATAGAATCATTAGTTTACCAGCTGTTATTTTGCAAGGTATTACTGTTCTATACATCATTAAGAGCAGAAGTTTTCGACATCTTTGCGAAGTATAATACCAATTGGCCCTGCAGCTATTACGTGAAACAAGAAAAATTAAAATGATTAACGATAAATCTAGCAAATATTTGCATTTATACTAGGTTTTTGTCTTGCCGTCCAAAGCCACAAAAAATCAATACGTCTTGTATATGCTACATATAAAAAGATTATTTATAGCTGAAACAATTGTAATTAATATGTCCATAACAAAGAAAACTGTACATTTTTATTTGAGTTTTCCCTCGAAGGCTTAAAAAAGAAAAGAGAAAAAGAAAATTAGGTAATTAGACTACTGACTTGAATTCATTCTTACATAGATTCATATGGGAGGACGCTGTAGTCAAGTAAAAATTGACCTTGCCAAAAATGAAGAAATAAATGAATAAATAGTGCAATGCAGATAGTTAAAGGTCCGATGATGTCATTTGCGCCTTTATTTAAATGCATTAGCAGCTAAAATATACATGACTTATTTTTATACTTTTTTTGGCTACCACATTGATAAAATTATCGATTATTAAAAATGGTTATTAAGATTTTTTTCTCAATTTTCTATTTGTTATCATCGAAATATAACAAAAATGTTTGTACTAAAAGTTATTATTTGTAATATGAATTTATTGTTATTTATTATATAAATAGAAAAGAATAGTTGATACATACTTGTATACCGGTTATACTGATACCAATCATATTAAAGTTAAGAGTCATCAGAAATATTTTTGTAAATAATGATTCGATATACTCTGCAAATCTGTGAAATGAACACTAAACGATAATTTGTAAATTAATATGTAAATATCAATATCAATGACAAAAATGAATGCAGATATCATTACATGAATTTCATACGTACTCTATCACAATAATATGTCTACGTAAACAATGTAAAGTTTTACTGTAATTGTCGTCTTTTACTTTGATAGGTTTCGCGTCAAAATTTTCCTCGTTATTTTTACCAATGTTCTCCAAGGTATTTCTGTAATGCCAGAAATATACTTTTGACAAATCGAGACTTCAAGATTATATGAGTCATCAAAGAAATCGATTGCAAGAAGAATATTCCTGTTTTTTCATGATTAAAAGAGATTTTTCATAATCAAAAAAGCTTACCCAATAATTGAGAACATTCCACAAGCATGCTGAATTAAACTGTAGTACAATCCATCAACGGCGATTGTGGCAAACGAATGAGCGACTATGGCCGCATAATTATGCACTGCTATTGGATATATATATTGATTGAATTTTTCGCCGTACTCCACGTGGTAAGGTAATCTCGATGCATATGTTATAGAAGATTTTGTCACATTGAAGGCATCATTCGCTGTCAGAGTCAGCACGATTGGTTTAAGCATGAAAAGGCACGCGGTCGTATGCATGAAAACTAGGAAACGTACATATTGTATGCAAGATTTTCAAGCATATATTTATTTGATATGTTTAAAAAAAAATCGATATTTTTTGCAATTAGTATATTATTTATGCAATTTTTCTTTAAGGGGATACTGGAGTGACCAAATTGTCAAAATATTGAATTTGATATAAATTTCCGAATTTATTTCTGAATGGAATAAAAAATTCTTTTACAAGATTAAAGTAGACGCAAAATTTGAAGATGCTGCAGTGAACTTTATATTAAAGTTGAATTACTAAGATTATAAATCAAATCAAAATTAAATAGTTCTTATACCGAGTAAATATATGTTTACATTTTTAGTAAATATTTAACTGACATTATTCAAACAAATATTTATTAAAATTTAATACAGTTTTCTCTCAGTATAAGATCATGAGAAATATGATTCAGAATGCACGATTATGTACATGTGCGTTCAAAATGTTTACGTAAATTTTTACAAATTCTACATTCTACTTAAAAATTTTACACACCTGCATAAAATGTTTCCAGATATTGTCCATACTTAGTATGCCGTTCCAAAATAATTTTTTCTACATTTGTATTTAATGATAGCCAGTCCTTTTGTATTATGTTAAGACAAGTCTTTAACTAAACAAATGTTCGTCTGTTTCTTACTATTGTATATAGGATGTCCTTAAATTACGACATCACCGATTTTGAGCAGGTAGAGCGGACTAAACTGAGTTAAAAAGTCCTCTACTATTTTGCAATTTTCACAATGGTTAACGAGATATTAATTATTAAAAATCGCTAAATATATTAGTCTTCAATAATTTTTTACTCAAATATTATCAACTTTACAGAAAAACTGCAAGAGACGAAAAATCATTTATTTTCTTCTCATAGAACTCTAAGAATTTTTTCAGAATTTTTTATAAACTTTTTAGTATTGCATTTTCTTATTTTTACCAACATGAGAAAATATATTAAAAAATTCTGAAGAAATTCTGAAAAAATTCTTAGAATTTTATGAGAAGAAAATAAATAATTTTTATCTCTTACTGTGTGTGTATTTTTCTGTAAAGTTGATGGTATTTGAGCAAAAAATTATTGAAGACCAATATTTAGCGATATTTAGTAATTAATCTCGTTAATTATTGAGAAAATTACAAAATGGTAGAAGACTTTTCGACTCAGTTTAGTTCGCTCTACTTGCTCAGGATGGATGATGCCGTAATTGAAGGCCACTCTGTATATTTCTTTATACAAAAGTCAAAAGTTATTGAAAATTCATTACTTACTTTCTCACTATTTAACATTATGACTAATATTTTGAAACTGAATAATATGCTGATGAATATCGATGACCCACACTCGAATATGTCATCGAGAGTGATCGAGCCGATCAGTAAATAAAGTATCTATATTAGATTTAAACGCAATTATGAAATTGATAAGTTGATCATATTTTTCTAAATTTGGAACTAAATTTGACTACGTATATATGTTTATTTTCTTACAATTTTCCACATTTAATATTTCCATTTTTCTGAAATTATATTAAAATTTGTTTGACAATTTCTCTTATTTTTCTTCTTAAAATTAAATTAAAGTGATATCTTTTAAAAATTTAATAAAATTTTGTCAAACAAATTTTAATATAATTTATCAGAAAAATAAAAATATTAAAATTTGTTTGACAATTTCTCTTATTTTTCTTCTTAAAATTAA